GGGGGAACCAAGTCGCGTCGCTGTTTTCTGAAGCTAACAAGTCAGTCGGTCAATCACTCCTGAGTCCGGTTACCACAATTATGTACAGCAGACGTCTGCGCTGCTGGTAAACGACAGCTAAATAAGCGAAAAAATGGGCTCCTCCATTTCCAGCAGCTTTATGTAAATGTCAAGACGTTGGAGCTGTTTCAGCAGCTACCGTGTGTACGGTCAGGTTTTATTTTTTAGATTTTTGTCTTTTTTTTTTCTTCCCTTTATGAGAAGGAATACTTAACTGAAAGAAAATAGCAGTTCCATTAAAGAATACATACGGACAAGGCAACAGGAGCATAAAATAATTTACACAATGGATACATGAGCATCGGATACAGAAGAGATATAAATATGAGAGTCCTTAATGTGGTATAAAATGCATTGTACAGCAAATTGCTTCCCACGGAGGCAGCAAGTATTGTACAGTAATAAAAATGTATCAGTGAAAAGAAAAAAAAGGAGAAAACTTGAATAAACAGTAAAGTGTCAAGTGCCCGAGTCCTTTTAAGACGGTGCTCTCAGGTGCAACCAACACACACCTCAAGTGAAGTGGTGGGGCGGTTCAGACCATGAACTTCCGATTCCTCAATTTATTGATACCATGTACTGTACATAGGGATCTATAAATTAAAGGAGAACTATGGGGTCAGTGTTTTTCCCCATAGTTCTCCTAAGGGTCACGGGAGGACGTATACTAACCTCCTCCCATGACCCTAAGCTCAGTATACTCGCAGTATACTGAGACGTCGCAGCCTGACGGATACCAACATTACTGTTGAGATCCACCCAGCTGTGCCCGCCCCCTCCCCCGTCAGTTCTGCCAGTCAGCGCTGGAGAATTCGGACAGGGGAGGGGATCCCTGCAGGGAGACGTGAGTGACAGTCACGGCTCTCTGCAGGGACAGGATCGAGAAGTGAGCGAGCGGCGGTATGTGTTCGCTCACTTCCGGATCTATTGAGCCGACGTGTGATAGTTTCATTGTCACAGGTCGGCTAGAACTATGAGGCTGAGTGAAAATCACTCCCCTCATAGTTCTCCTTGCATAATGAGAGTTTGTAAATAACATACATAAAGAGCATACCATAGTAGAATGCCAACCATCAACTTTTTTTATTGATGTATAAGGAATGCTTTCTTTTCCTCTCTCCGTTATGTCCTCATGTTTTACATAATCATTCTTTTTACATCAATACAAATGTTTTGCTGGTTGTCATTCCAGTACTGTATACTCTATTTCTTTAGGCAGCTTCCACGGTGCCCATAACAGTGGGCGGCCCACCTCTGACACAGACCCCCCCGTATGTTTGTATCTGGCACCATCACTGGATATGGATGTATCATCATGAATCTCAATGTGTTTAATATTAAGAAGAGGCTTTCATGCTGGTATTGTAGGAGATATGTGTGTGGAGGGGAGGAGGGGGGCGGGGGTAGTGGCTGCTGGTTCCGTCCTTCCTGCAGGCTGAATCTTTGCTTTTATTTTGAGTAAAGAGCACACGTAAATGGCATTTGTTAAGAAAATACGTAAAAAGCATACGTAAATGGCATGCATAAAAAGCATATCATAGTAGAATGCCAACCATCAATTTTTTTTAAACTGATGAATAAAGAATGATTTATTTTCCCTCCTCGGCTATGTATCATGTTTGTGATCATACAAAATCATTCTTTTTACATCAATAACAGTTTTTTTGCTGGTTGCCATTCCAGTACTGCATACTCTTTATGGTTCTTTAGGCAGCTTCCACGGTGCCCATAACAGCGGGCGACTCACCTCTGCCGCGGATCCCGCAAGGTTTGTATCTGGCGCTCTCGCTGGATGAATCGTCACGAATCACAATGAGGGGGAATTTTTTCCAACACTGGAGCAGACAAAATGTGTGGAGCAGCTGTGCACGGCAAACCAATCGGCTTCTCTCTTCAGTTTGTTTAGTTAAGATTTGAAAATGAAAGAGAGAAGCTGATTGATTGCCGTGCACAGCTGCTCCAGATTTTGTCTGCTCCAGTTTTGATAAATTCCCCCCCATGTGTTTAATATTAAAAAGAAGCTTTCACGCTGTGTATGTGGATGGGGGAGGGTGGATGTTGGGTCAGTCCTTCCAGCAGGTTGAGTTTCTAACTCAGGAAGTGCCAATCTTTACACCGGAATCCTTTTATTTTATTCTAATAAAGTCATAGAAAAGTGATGGCAGACTGTTTTTAATAAGGATGCACCGATATCGTTTTGTTGGTATTGAGTACGATATTGTTTTTCGGTACTCGCCGATACTGAATACCGATACCGGAAGTCCCATGAAGGAAGCCAGGCGGCGGTGTAATGACTCGCCACCTGGCTTCCTTATTAGCCGGGAAGCTGGGCGGCGTGTAAAAACTCGCCACCCGGCTTCCCGATCAGCAGGGAAGCCATCTCCATGCTCCCTCGTCCCCAGATGATGAGGGAACATGGAGCCGGCTTTCTGGCCAATCAGGAGCCAGGTGCTGTGTGACAACTTTTGAATACAGATGTCATCAGCACGACGAGACTTTTAAGTCAGTGCAAATCCATTTATTAATAGATGCCACTCAGAACATCAAGCGCTTCCGGGGCCACACAGGGTCCCCTTCATCAGACTCAGAGTAGGCTTGTCTACTCTGAGCCTGATGAAGGGGACCCCGCGTGGCCCCGAAAGTGCTTGATATTCTGAGTGGCATCTATTAATAAATGGATTTGCACTGACTTAAAAGTCTCGTCGTGCTGATGACATCTGTATTCAAAAGTTGTCCGCGGTCATTTCAAGCACCCATCAATATCTTGGGATTTCAGGTAAGGAGTGCTACAAGATCTATGGACATTTGGGTGCTGTGTGATGACGCCTTGCCCGGCTTCCTGATTGGTCGAGAAGCTGGCCAAGCAGGAAGCCTGGCAACGCGTCATTAAACAGTGCCCG